GTCTTGGTTACCAGGTTGCCTTCTTAGTAGAAGGCAGCAAGAGAGATTGTGACCATCAGAGGCACTTGACTAGTGTTGGCTTGACAGGAATGGAACCATTGTTTCTACTGTGTGGGATGGGTGTGTAGAGTACTTGCCCAGTGTGGCAAAGATCCAAGGTCCTAGCTCTAGCACTGGGGGTGCTTCTTTCTACTGTGTTTATTGTTTCTTTCCACATTATTGTTTTTAATATCTGCCCATGTTGTTACATTTAGTTATAACTTGTTCATTTTCATTGCTCTTGTTATCCTACCATTTGACTGATTTATAATCTGTTCATGCTTCTGTTATCCAATGTTTGGGTCATTTGTAATTTTTGCCCCTTAGAAAACACTGTTAGTAACATTCATATACATGTCTTGCATGTGGGTTCCCCATACAACTCCTAGGAAAGTCTAATATCTACCAGACATCTATGGAAGGCACACTTAGTTTTATAAGAAAAAGCTGGAGGATTCTTCTTTTCTTCCATCACCTTCCTAAGAAGGCTTTATGGAAAAGAAAATACTTTCAAGTCAACTTTCTGATAGTCTTCACATAGGTTCCCTAGCTGACAATGAGAATCAAGGAACACATTTGTTGAACCTAAGAGATTCCAGGGTGTGCTCCAGATTATTGGGTCAGAACCTCCAGAGTAGGGCAACAGACCTAAGCAGCACACTGGGAAACATTGCTTTCTCCCTCACTAAATGTGTGAATGAAGCGTGGCTCCTTAGTCATGAAGAAATTTGAAGGAAGTATACACATGATTAAAATGTAGGAAAGTTGGGGCTGGACAGATAGCTCAGCAAATGAAAGTGCCTGCTTAGGCAGATGAAGGGACTGGGGTTTGGTCCCCGGCTGGCCATGCCGGCCCTGCCCCTGGGGCACCCTGAGACTTGGGAGGCTGAAAACAGGAAGGATCACTACAAGTCCGATCTGTGTAGTGAGACACTGTAGACCCTGTACGAAATATATAAAATCAATAAAAAGTCTTGGAAAGTTGGCCTTGGTGGAAAAGTTAAAGGAGCTTATAAAATTTGTAAAAATCTGAAGTTTGAGTCAGTAATTATTTGCAAAAGAATGAACAAGCTTTGTAAGTGAAAGTACTTGTTAATTCAAAAGAGATTTCAGTTGATCAAGAGGGAAAAACCTCTGGGTAAAATCAGTAACAAAGGTGAAGACAGAGGAAATGAGCATTGGGAGCTCCTGAACCAAAGCCAGGATGCGATATTTCGTGAAGTCTAGACTGTGGGCTTCAGTGGAGCTGGGGATGTGGGTCGTCAGGAACACTGTGGAGTAAAGAAGCAGAGGAAGAGATCATCAGGAAAGGCCTGGAATCCGTGAGCAGAAACTAGCCAGTGTGTAGGGGGTGGACACACAGCTTTCCAAAGGAGTGATTTCTAAAGGTTCTTATTGTGGTTCTCTATTAAGAAATGTGTTTATATCAAAGCCAGGTTTACATAGGCATATAATGGATGAAAGTTTCATAAGACACTTAACCTTAATACGTGTATTGTGTCTAATGTTTTATATTTTTTCTCTTTCACCTTTTAATGTGTGTTAGATTAATGCATTGAAAAGTCAAAAAGGTGACCAGTGTAGATGGAGTTGGTCCTTTGTGGGGAGCACAATTAGAGGAGAGGATTTTCATGGGAATTGGCAAGGGCGGATGGTGGTCCTTAAAAGCCTTCTTTGATTCTGGGCTGTGATTGAATATATTTGGAATGTTACAACAAAGTTGCAAATTTTGAATCTAATCCTACCTTGGCCAGTAGATCAACAAAGATGACTTCTTGAGATTTTTTTTTTCAATGCTTGATTTCAATTTAGTATGTCTCAGCAGAGGGATGGGTGTGGAGAACAGGAATTTGTTTCTGGATTTTTCTAGAGCAGTGGCCTATAGAAGTACAAGGGAGCTTCTTAAATACCATGGGGCTTTTAGTATGAAGTAGGGAATGTCTCCATGGGCAAGATTAGGAGACAAAATTGATGGCTCCTGGGCGGCTGTGCTTCTGGCAGAATATGGTATGGCCAGGTGTGTGTATCAGAGCCAACTGCATGTGTGCCCGGTGGTGTAGTCCAGGATTGCAGACCTCAGCCGGCACAGCCTCGCTCTCTGCTAGTGCTGGCCGGAAGTCTAGGAAATAGCCTTTCACCTCAGAAGACCCACTATTTAGAATTCCAGATTCCCAGGCAAGAAGTCTAATTAGGACATTTCTTGGCTTCTGCTTTGGGTATATTTGTGATGTTTGACCTAACCTCTTAGCTTCTTTGCATCTTTCTTAGCTCATGGTCTACCAAACTTTCTCCCTTCAGGTTTGCTTCTGCCTTCTTCATTTGGGTCGAGCAGCATCCTTTTCCCTCCTGCTGCTCATGGGGAGTCCTCTTTTCAGCACTTGGGGGTGTTGCGGATTATTCCTTCAGTACTTGCTTATGAGAAACTGTTCTTGTTACCTGGTCCGCTCCAAGAGAGAAGGAGCTTCGACTTTTCTTGCAGACTCCCCATAGAAAGGGATTTCCGACCTTAAAGACTGTACCATTGCTCTTCCTCTCCGAAGAGGAAGGGGGAAGAACATTTCCTGCCACGTCCTGTGCAGATTGAACTCCCTACAGATCCACATGGAACTGATTTTAGAGAACCCCTGCAATCAGATTTTTTCTCTATTTTAAAGTGAGTGCCTCAGCAGCACTGAAGAGGAAAATCCTTTCATGTGTTCTCTGTTACTTAAATGCTTTCAGTCTTGTCTGCTAAGATTTAATATCCTTCTGATCTTCTCAATCCTCAGTCCAGTTTTAATTTGGTCAGTTTAGATTAGGAAGGATTTTAAAAGGCAACGCTTCTTTCCTTTTAAGATCATGTAGGTAGCAATAATCAAAAATGTATCCAAAGATTGTTGCATATAACCCTCCGGAGCAGGATCCCTACTGATTGAGAAGCAGTGGCTTTTAGGTACAGTATTACACATTGGTTTAGATCTCTAGTATCTCCAGAGGCCTCGTGTCCTCATAGATGGGCATTTGGAAGGTGGCGAGGTCATGGAGAGCCCCAAGGTTGACTTGCTGCTGGGAGGTGGGGCCTGGGAGCATGACCCGGAAGGTCATCTCACTCCCTGCTGCTTCCCTTCACGCTCTGCTTCCTGGCTGCCACAACATGAGCAGCTTCCTCCACACAGGCCCTTCTATCCCACACTGTCTGAACCTAATTCTTCCTACCAAGGACTGAAGCCATGAGCCAATCTCTCCTCCTGTAAGTTGTGTCAGGTATTTTGTCCCTGCAACAGGAAAAGTGAGCAAGACACATAAATGGTAGGGTTCTGGAACAATCTCTAATAAAACTCAGTTTGAGGAATTTTATAGAGAAGATTAAGGTTTGGAGGAATCACACTGGGCACCTAGTCCAAAGCTTGGGAAGACAGGCACAGAGAGGTTATGAGTGACATAAGGTCACACAGCATATCCTGTCAGTCCAGAGTTCCAAACTTCAAATTCATAAAGCTTAGAGAACAAACTGCTGATTTGCCTTCAGGTTACTTCTGACTGTGTTCTTGCACTCAGCTATGTCCACGGAGGAGGAGGAGCAAGTACTGAGTAATGAAGATGTCCCCATCTTGAGCCTTAGAGATGCCCATTTTGGACATTTCTCCTTTACTCCTCCATGACCTGAGGCTTTCTTGAGCCCCGCGTCTAGGCTTGGGTCAGAGGGTGACTAGGCCATCTTGTGAATCCACTGCGGCTGTGAGAGGATGGAGTCCCAGTGGGCCAAGTAGTTCCATCAGTACGGAACTTGGGCACACAGCCAGGGCTAGAGAAGTGAAATGCCTCGTTGGTAGTTTTTCAGTCTTGCCCGTCCCTCTGTCTGCTTCTTCATAGTCAGCTATAGCAACTGGGGTCCATGGTGAAGCCTTTCATATGAAATGCCTGGAAGAAAAGACGATGCCCTGGAGACTTGCATGCAGAAGGCTTTGGAGAGGGACGAGGCATCCCTCCCAGGGTAACAGTGTCCAGAGGTGAAAGGGCCAGAAGTAGGCACAGCTCACGGCCTGTGCAGGAGGACAGGAGCATCACGCAGGCCGGTGGGGTCCCTGGGGGGCTGGGATGTACCCAGCATCTTTTCTCCATCTCTCCCTTCATTAGTCCTGTACGCCGCATGCACCGCCCAGACCCTAAGTCCCTGCTTGTATTTCATCTTCTGCTTCACACCCTTCAGTGGGTCACAGTTGTCTTTTCATATTTGAAGCTTGTTAGTCTTGTGCTCAAGGCTCCTTTCTTCTTCTGTAGCGATCACTTATTTCTCTTCCAGCCTTAAGAGTGAAAGCCGGTTTTTGTGTTTATGAAAGCTGTACTGTTACGGCGGTTTGCGGAATTATTCTGTGGGGGTTGGGATTGATGGTGGTGAAGGTTTTGTTCCAAGCTGTTTGACGTCGAAGAGCTTTTTCAGAAAGAACTTTAGTTTCTAGTGACCCTTCATTGAGTCTGCAGCCTGGACCGCTACTTAAAATCTTCAAACAGCTCAAAAATGGTTGCCCAGTAAGTAAGTACCTGTGAAAGCAGATGGAGAACTATGTGTATTTAAACTCCTGGCTAATCTTGAACTGTTGGTCAGTTTGATTCTGTTACACAGGGCACTTGGGTGAGGTCAAAGCTCAGGGTTCCCAGGCGCCAGCTGTCAAGTTTAGCAAGAAACTAGCTAATGTGTAAACTGGCCTCGAGGTCTTTCTAAATTTCTTCATTTTCCCAAGAGTAGTTAAAAGCGGACATTTTATCTCCGGAGTTTGGTGACAGCTGACATTTCAATGCACTGTTGATGTTTTCTTTTAAGAAGCCAATTGTCTTGGGTATCCCCGTGGTGAAGGGGAAGGTACTTGAAAGTCGTCCATTTGGGGCACGTTTTGATTTAAGCGGGAAAGACTGAGCTCCTGCCAGTCAGCGTGGCCTGGCCAGCGTCGCTCACCCGTCTGCCTGTCCTCTCTCCCCCACAGACCAATGAGTGGAACAAGAATGACGACCGCCTGCTGCAGGCCGTGGAGAATGGCGACGTGGAGAAGGTGGCCTCGCTGCTGGGCAAGAAGGGGGCCAGTGCCACCAAGCACGACAGCGAGGGCAAGACCGCGTAAGCCACAGGCTCGCTTTCATTGTCTTCCTGTTCTGGGTTCTTAAGGCTCTCTGGGATCCTCAGTATCCACTAGGCAGTTCTCTCAGTGCTTTATGGGGGTTTGTGAAATTACTGCTACTTCCCCTTCTCCCGCTCCCATGATTCAGTATGTGTGAGGATGTTTTAACTTGGTTCCTATCCCTTCCAGTTCCAAATCCACTTTGAGCTTTTATTTGAATAGGAGCTCAGTTTGCTCTCAGAGACAGCCAGAGACTTCACCAGAGAACAGCTAGCACCAGGAGTGTAGTCAGTTTGATAAACAGGAAATGAATTATATCCTAGATTTAAAAAAAAAACAAAAAACACAGCATAAAAGAAAAACAGTTTGTTTTCATTACCCTCAAGCCTTACTACTATATTATAATGTAGTTAACTACCCTCTTGAACACTGGTAATTACGTGAGTAGTGTAAAATGATTTTGCTTCATGTTTTGTATGTAATACTCTTATTTGCCATAATTAAAACTATATTTGAGTATTGTGTTTGTATGTATTGACTGGCTATTAGCAGCAGGGCTCTCACTGGTTGGGCTCCAGTGGGAACAGGTAATTCCACTGGTTGTCCATCTTTTGAGTCCTTATAACAACATAATATTACCCTCCAAAAGTAATAGCAGCTTATAAGGCTGCCTGCTTTTCATAGAAGTCAATGCTTGGTTTAAGATTAACATTATATCTCTCCAATCTAGTTCATAAGTCTGAATAAATCCTCTAAAAGACATCAATGCACTTATCAGGGTCATCTAAGGCACATGAACTCTGGAAGTTCCAAATTTCCTATTTACTTCTTTAAAAGGTATTGTCCTTGAGGAGCTTGCATAAACCCAGCTAAGAATGGGTGTAGCCTTGTAGAGGCCTGGATTATAGCTGTTTTAGAAGTACACCCTCTAGACTAGAAAGGCAAATAGGGGAAACCTTGCTTTCACCAATGGTGGGCGAGGCTGAACTGCCTGGTTTTTCTGTTGCTCACATCTACATTTTTTAAAAATTATTTATTTATCTATCTATCTATCTATCTATCTATCTATCTATCTATTTATTTATTTATTGTGTGTGTGTGTGTGTGTGTGTGTGTGTGTGTGTGGCCAGCTCAGCCCACCAGGGGGCGGGGCTGGCTGGCATGTGGTGCTGGGGGATCGAACCGCCGTCCCTGTGCTTTGCTCAGCTTCGCTTGTTCTGAGTAGGTGCTCCAGACCACCGAGCCATCCCACCAGCCCCTCACATCTACATTTTAAAACTTAAATAACAATGACCTTCTTAATGTAAACAAAATCTAAACATAAGACAAACATTTTTACCATTTTCTTTTTACATCATCTTTCGAGTTATAAACTAGTATCACAGTTGATATTTTTCTCTTTATTTTATTTACACGGCTCTTAACATGTAAGAATTAAACATCTTTTGGTGCCTGATGAAGCACACTCTAAAGGAGTAAGAGACTTTGACTGTGAGATGACTTGGAATTCAATAGAAATTACCTTTCTGGGCATCTCCACCTTCTTCCTAATTGATTCCTCCACCCAGGCGTCCCTGAGTAGCCCTCTCCAGAGCAGGTGGATGCTCCTTCGTCCAGTGATCTCAGTGGGAAACTCCAAAATGATACACGGAGAAAAACTGGTCTCGGATGGGTGACCTCCAAACAATACAGGGAACCTCCAAATGATATAGGGAAAAATGATCTCTGGACCTGACCTGCACGAGTTCGTGTCCTCTAAAACCAAAGAATGAATTTTAGGAACAAACAGAGGTTATGAGCAAAATATATTTATTGAGAGAAAGAAAGCTCCTGTCCAAGAGAGGGACAGGAGGGGGGCCCGAGCGGGTAGTTCCCCCTGTGTTTGTATGTATTGAGATGTTCCTATCCATTCTTATCCTGGAAGTAACCCCCGGGGCTTGGCCTTGTCCAGGGCCCTGGCCTTTAGGAACTTGCTGTACAGCAGATGAGCTAGGGGTGTGGAAATGAAACTTCATCTTTATTTAAAGTTGCTTTCTGACTCTTGCATTAAAGGCCTGAATTCTGCCCCCTGTCAGATCTGTGGCAGCATTAGATTCTCACAGACAGGACTGTTCACCTACCTGGTAAAGCCTCCCATGCTCATGTGAAGGACCCAGGTTCTAGGCTCTTTTGAATTTTCCTGAAGCCATATCTCCCTATCTAGTCTGTAGAAAACTTGTCTTGTATGAAATTGGTCCCTGCTATGAAAAATATTGGAGAGCTGTGTTATAGTTGGAGCCGGGTAGACTGGTCATGTGGACTTTGTCACGTATGAGTTGTATAATCCTTGAACCTCATCTTTTTTGAAAAACAGGGATGATATTTAATTGCTAGGATAATTGGGTATATCAAAGAAGGTCCTGATATCAGTTGGCTGACCCCAGCAACAGGCTGAGACAAGGGTTTGAGTACCGATAGTTTCTGTTGCCAGAGATTTTAGAAGGCATAGGGAAGACAGAAGCCTATAAGTAGTAGGGTTTGTATGGACTGCTTCCTACCAGGGGTAACTGGGATGACTTCCTTTAGGTTTTTTGTTTGTTTGTTTGTTTAATTTTGTGCAGAGTCTCACTACACAGCTCAGACTTGTAATGATCTTCCTGTTTTCGGCCTATATAGTGCTGGGATTACAGGTGTGCCACCATGCCCAGACCCCATTGCCAGCTCAGCACACGTGGGACGTGGGGCCAGCACGGCATGTAGTGCCAGGGATCGAACCCTGGCCCCTGTGCTTGCCTAAGCAAGGGCTTAGTCCGCTGAGCTATCTTGCCAGAGCCTTGGGGTGACTTCCAGATAAGGGCTTTGGGGAATTGGTTTAGACTTCCAGCAGGAATTGATGAGTTGTGGTTTCCTGTGTATTGTTTAAGCATTGTCCCTTGGCTACTGCCAACTACAAAGCAGAATTGAGTGGTTACAACAGAGACCACAGGGCTCACGAAACCAGAAACATTTGCTGCCTTGCCTTGCCCTTTATATAAAAATTGTGATTTTTTTTTTTTTTTTTTTTTTTTTTTTTGTATTTCACCCTCTGTCTCTCTCTAACAACATATTTTTCTTTTTTTTTTTTTGTGGGGCTGGTTATCAGGGATCAAAACTCAGGACCTTGCACTTCCCAGGCAGGCACTTAAGCCACTAAGCTATCCCTCCAGGCTCCCACCCCCTTCTTTCTTTTCTTTTTTTTTGTCTGTTTGAGACAGGATCTTGCTATGCAGTTCAGGTTGGCCTTGAGTTCACTTTGTAGCCCAGGCTGGTGTCAAACTCACAAAAATCCTGCCTCAGCCTCCTGAGTGCTGGAAATACAAAAATTGTGCTTCGCTTAAGTTCATTTTATTTATTTATTTATTTATTTATTTATTTAATGTATTTAGTACAGGGTCTACAGGGTCTAACTAAGTAGATCTGACTTGTAGTAATTCTCCTATTTTCAGCCTCCTAAGCACTAGGATTACAAGTGAGTGCCACCACACCCAGTCTCAGTGGCCATGTCAGTATGTCCAGGGGCAGGGCCAGCATGGCATGCCAGGCCTCAGACCCTCGTCCCTGGGTCTGCCTAAGCAAGCACTTTAATCTGCTGAGCTATCTGGCCAGCCCAGGTCTTGAGATTTTTGATGGTGTACACTTAGCTTTTGATCTGCTTTGTGTTCCACTGAATAGCCTTCTTGTTACCTATTTCCTCCTAGCCCATCTCTGCAGGTGTCTGTACAAGGCAACCTTTTATAGTCATCCCACAGAAAGAGAAGAGTACTGAGTGTTTGTAGTAGTTTTGTAGAAGACAGTACTCACTACAAGAAGATGGAAAGTTCAGATGAGCAGCTTGGCCCCCCTTGTGACCACCCTGACACATTTGCACCTTTTTATTCATATGTATTTTTCCATCCCCTGAACCCTCATTTCTCCAGCATCAGATTCATTTATTTATAAGACTTTATAAAATTACCATATATACAGATTAATAACCACGCTAATAGACCAAAGAACGTATGAAACATGTAAGGCAATTATACTAAGTCAAGGTACAACTTCAGATACATTGTCCATGCAGGATTATACGTTTTTTCTTTTCCTATTATCTTTAATAAGTTATGTCCTATAAATTTTTCATATAAGCTAAACCTTGCAATATTTAAGCTTGTGTGTCTAAGCTCTTATTATGTGTAGAGTACATGGTTTGACTAATAGATTTTCTTGTATATTGTGGTAAAATTTACACAAAACTTGCCCTTTTAATGACTTTTTAAGTGTTTACCTCAGTGGCATTAAGAGCATTCACAGTGTGGTATGACCATTATTGCTATGTGGTACCAGTGCTTTATGACCACCCTAAAAGGGAAACCCAGTATCCATCAGGCAGTCCCCCTTAGCCTGGCATCCACTAATCTGATTCCTGTCTCTGAAACTGCCTATTCTGGATATTTTGTGTCAGTGGAATCATAAAATATTGACCTTCTGTCTCTAGCTTATTTCTCTTCGTGTGTTCTTAGGGTCCATCCACCTTGTAGCATGTGCCAGTGTTCATTCTGCTCTTTGATAGAATTGCACATGGCTGCCACGTAGCAATCACCACCTCCACTTTTCAGATATTCCCTTGGAGATCCACGGAACATGGCTCTCTGTGAGCTCGCTCTAGAAACCACTCTCACACTTCTGTGTGCTTGCAAGCCAGCTCTTCTCCGCTTCAGCCACACACAAGTGGAAGGCTAGAAGGCCTCCTGAAAAAGGAAGGAAGGAGGAAATTATTTTTCCAGTGTAGAAGTTTCCCATGAGTAGTCATCTGTCAACGCTTAATTTTTCTGCTTGAGATATTCCTTTTGAGGACTAAAGTTATTAACTAATAACTGTAAGAATTAAATTTTTAAAGGTACCCCAGAATTCAGTCTTTTCTGGCTTTATATTTTGATTCAAAAGTTATGATTTGAATATTGCAAATTAGGTGGGGTTGTGGGGCTGGAAACCCTTTTCCTTA